TWAMTTKAAARGGGGRAAMMWYCYWRRARGRMMARRARARRWAMGTMAAGAAGAGAAARGTCGAGGATAGTATAGAAARAGTATTTCTGTRTTCCTTGTGTTACWGTTGWAGCTTGACTTTGGTMTRTGTGAWGCTTGCRCGTGACTAAACCACGTGACAAGAGAGAAATACAGCAACAGAGAATTTCAGCACAATATTCAGTGAAAGCAGAGACAGAAGTGATTGTAGCTGTTATTACTTTGATAGAGAGCTTATGCTATAAACCGTTTATATCTTGAACGACATTTCTTTTTACATTTGACTTCAGAAGGAAACACAATCAGTGTATTCAGTGTTATACAAACGTATTCGCTAGCTGCTGATATATTCACCATTATCAGACCAGTATATTGACCCAATCGACTTCGAAGGCTTCCACTGCATAAAGAAACCTCCGGTATATCCATAGTCCKCGATTCCAGAGTTCCAAGATGTACTTCTTTTTCGAAGACCAGTGTATTAACGCTACCGTTCCCACCACCCTGTCYTTCACAACTGCTGGTGTCTTGAGCCTGCTTTGTTTCTTCACAKTRCCTGGAAATCTCTTAGTGGTGCTCGCAGTGTTTATTGATCCTAACAAAGAACTACGATCACCTTTTAATTACTTTGTGGCGAATTTAGCTATGGCTGATCTKGTGGTTGGTCTCGTCACAGAACCAGTGTCAGTTATATACCAYGTAAAAGAGGGAWTGGGACTTCTGGACGCCGGATCTCCAGYAATCCACATGCCTTTCTTTATATCATGCACAGCTTCAATTTTAAGTCTTTTAGTGTTGACTTTAGATCGATATGTCGCGATAACTTCGCCGTTTAAGTACAAGACMCGGCTCAATCCAGGCCGCGCGGCTTTGCTTTGCGGAGGAGTCTGGGCCATTTCGCTKGGACTGCCGTTTGTATATTTCTACATTGGTTATATTCCTTACGCGTTYTTATTCGCTAATAGTGCTATACTTGTAACATTTGTGGTTCTACTATTCGCGTACATACGGATTTATAAGATATTCCGTGATCAAGTAAAAGGCTGGGATGCACTGCATGCAGGGACKGAGGAAAATATACGAAAGAAAAAAGCCGTACGCTGGGAACAAAAAATCACCAAAACATTCCTCCTCATGTTGTTCCTCTTCGTKTTGTGTTACATGACAGCCTGCGCTTTTATATACTTGCTGAACTTGTGTGACAAGTGTAGCTGTTTTGTCATCCAGCTGTCACGCAATCTTCAGTTCTTGTTGATACTGTCGAATTCGTGTATGAACCCGTTTGTTTAYTCGTGGAGACTGCGCAACTACCGGCGCGCTTTTTTGTATGTCATCACTTGTGGGCATAAAGGAGGTAATGAAGCTGCGAGACTWCGAGAAATAGAGCTTAAAAGCTTCCGRAAGTCATCGCTAAAATCCGGATCGAGTTTGAGACTGAGAAGAGAGAGCCTAARACCAACTTTTTTGGATGGATTGGTGTCATAATGGGTTTCCTGTGTTATGGGGAAGAGTGTGAGTAATATTTGACATTGAAAAATCGACTTTTAAAAAGACTGTATAGGACTCATTTTCAGTTCGGCAAAATCAKTTATTAGCACACGCTCTCTTTATTAAAGTTGCAATGAAAGAATTCCTAAATACTGATACATTCTCAATATTTTGTGTATCTTTGTGTGAGTTTTGTTATATAAAAAGCTTTTTTTATTGCATTCTCTTTGATGAATATTGTCGCTTTGGATAGGCTACTAAGTTTTTTCAACAGTCAGGTTTGAAAGTGAGTTCGTCTCTACCTGTTTCAAGTATGTAAAGTGGCATTTGATTGGCCTCCCATCGCAGCACTTAATTGGCTTCCTACAAGGCGTCAAAACATTAACATACCACCTTGGGCGTATACAGGACTTTAATAATAAAATAGCATTTTATTGGCTTCCTGTTGGTACATTAAAATGGCTTTCTTTAGTCTTCTTGAGGTGTTTAAGGTGGCAAATGTGAATATATGGGCGTATTAAGACTTGTCATCATAAAAGTGCTTTTTATTGGCTTCCTGTTGGTATGACGCTAAACTGGTTTCCTAGGTACTCTAGCTTTGTCAAGGTTCCCAAAAGGTTAATTTTWACGTGAACAAAAGAYATTTTAGTGGTTTTCCTGTTGGATTACGCTGACACTTAACTGGCCTCCCAAACGTTTCCTTATTGTGTCCAAAGCGTGGACTATATTTTTGTATAAAAAGATTTTCAATTAAAAAATAATTTCGAGTGACATTGGATTGGCTTGCTGTTGGAATATATTGACATTTAACTAGCTTCCCATACGTTTTCTCAATGTGTCCAAAGCGTGGACGTATATTTTTGTATAAAAAGATTTTCAATAAAAAAGATTTTCGAGTGACATTGGATTGGCTTCCTGTTGGATTATGTTGACACTTGACTGGCTTCCCATTGTTGTCTCTGTTGATTTATCGATGACAATGCTGCATTGTTTTCCCGTGAAGAGGAACAAAGAATTCAATTAACGCGCAGTAGTTATTCATAGTTAAGTACCTTAGTAAATTTAAATCCTCTCCAGTCAAAAACCCATTTCTCTGAATTTTGATTGACATTATTTAAAGCACTGTACTTAATCTTAAGTGTARCATAACATGTAAAAATATCTGAAGATTTGAAGATAATAAATTGTTTCAAAAATTTTTTTTTTCTTGAGTTTTTTACGCTATGTTTTTCAAATATAGCTGTGCATTGTAGGTTTAGTCAAGCCATGATAAAGCTTGTAAAATTACAATTGATATTTTGTTTTTGATTCGCTTTTTGTCCTTTTCTTTCGTGAATTTTTAGGCGTTATGGGTTTTGAGATCTCAGAATGGCCAATCTGCTCCAAGTCTAAGGACTATTGCAAGCCTCCATAAGTTCTTATTGAACCCAAGTACAAATAAAAGAATCAAGCACTAAGCTGTAAACGTTTGACACTTTTGTTGWATAATGTAATGACCGCCTACCCGTAGCAATAAGAAAGAATTGTGAAGAAATAAAATGTCTTGACCCGCCCAACCGGATTATTACTATATGTTTCTCTTGTCTGAGAAGACTTTCTAAAAACTAGTCAAAATGTTTGAAACGTTTCTTTCTTTGAACTTTAATATTTTGTTTTTCCTTCTTCTTTTGACTTAATTATATTCATATATTCATTGGACAGTTTTTTCGAACTTTTTTCACTTTGTGGCAAAATATCAAGGTGTAGTTGAATTTTATTTATATTTTATCTGTAGAGCTCTTGATCACTAGTTTTGCAGTGATATTTTGAATATTGTGCGATAGCTAAGTGAATATATTGAATTAGAAAATCGAATTTGAATTGAATACTACAATCAAGACCAATCAATCATTTACATTCGATATACCTGTCAACCATACTAGTCAAGACAGGCTGTGATTTTACTATTAAATCTACCTGATAAAAAAGGTTTGAAAAATCAACATTTATCTAAACAGTTAGTTTATGCGTCTTCTATATGAAATAATTAGGCCAATAATTGTTTTTTAAGTACGATTCTATCTTATTTAAGAATTGTTTGTTTCAATGCAAAAAACTTCTTAGTTTCGGCTCGCACCGACAAATAGAGTCGGAATACGCACTTCATCAAAGTCAAAATTTAATGTCAATTTGCTGTWTATTGATAAGCAAACATTATATTTTGCCTCAAAATAATGTTCCCAAAATGTTCGCTTTTATTAAGTRAAAGACTGAACCATCGCACGTAAATGAGAAAATCGCATTTTAAAAATTGCGGTCAGGGTTTTTAATAAGAAAACAAACTATCGAAAATCTAAATCTTGATGTTTCTGAAAAATTCGTTTTAGTTATCGTAATTTCAAAGGACTTTTTATGACACAATCAATTGAATTATCACATGCTAAATAAGTTCATTTTGTTGTGTGAACTAAGCGAACTATGAAAAATAGTCAAAGCGTACTGAAAAATTCTTTATATTTAGCATTTTATAACATTTAACGTTCTTTTTTCTTAAGCAAAATAAATGGAATTATAATATTTGGGAAACCCTCCTTAGTGTATGCCCAACGCATTCTCGCATCCCAGTCATGATTCTTTTATTCTAATAACTCTTTTAGCTGATTGTTCACACTTTATCGAGACTTGTAGCACGAACAGGTAGGAGGAGAAACCTCTTTAGAAAACCAACTGACCACAAAACGTGTACAACAAAGGCTTTCTTTTAGCGTGCGTTTAGCTCTTGTTCTAAGGATTTGAAAGGCGTTTGTCATCGAACGGGTGGAGCTCCAGTTATTATGTTTAAAGACTTTGGTTTGGATAATTAGCACCCATGCCCTTCTGTCATTGGGCGATTTGGATATGATTACTTATACAACAGCAGTCGTTTGAAGGCTGAGAATCCATATATATTCAGCTACCATAGTAAAGCAGTGTCCTTCACTTATGGAAATTGGGCTGACACGGAATTTAGAGCTGTCCAACGCTTTTATATTATCCAGAATCTACTAGCCGCCTCTAAAGCGAGTTTACTTTTTGACAGACGATCTATTTACAAAACATTGGCTTGAAATAGAAGTCAATCCAATCCTACAGTAACTTGGTTTGTGAATTCGCCAAAGCGGCATATCGTGAGAGAGGATTTTAATTAAGGGTGAAMACATCTAATTCAAAAACAAACCCAAGCTGAGGTATTTTGAAGGCTAAAAGGTCCTGATTACGTGTTCCAGAACAACTCATCGCACCACGAAAGTGACTGTTTAGAATTCCAATCCATAATCTTACTGGAATCAAGATTAACATTCAAGATCACAGGGAAAGAAGGCTTTTATCGTTGATAGCGAAACCACAAACTCACTGCTACTGACGTATATACCACGTAAGGAACGTCAACAATTTTGAAGACATTTCAAACGGCCTTCGCTTAATCGCTTGGGTCATTGTATGTTGTCACAGAAGATCAGCATCGCTATAATAACATTGTTGTTTTTTCTTCCATTGCCTGGCTGGAAATAAGAAGATATCTGTGATCTATTTGGGTACATGATTTTGCTAAAGGGAATTTCAACTCTGTACACTTAATCGCTTTTGAAATCTTCGTGTCATCGTAAGGCTTAAATCATTGCATTTGGAAGCATCAAAGCTGTCAGTCGCCGAGTCGAAAGAGATCAGCTTTTCCTTATCAATCTCAAGCGTTGTATACAAGCTCCTCAAGRAAACAGTGCAGTAAACGACGACCACCGCTGCGACAATAAGAAGCCCTACTTTTAACAGTAATATTTTATGAAAAGATTACATTGATCTTGTCAAAAGCACTGTGTGGGATATCGCAAATAAGCCGTGATTTATCTGGGTTTCATTAAGAAAGRATTGAAGGGTTATATATTTATCATTGGTAGAACACTGGCCTCGATGTGTAATCCGCTCTCTGTTATTAAAGATTTAAGACGAATGACTTTAAATCGCAGGTCAACGAGCCTATTGAATTGATAAGTACTGTCTTATGACTAGATGGTGTTCATGACGAGAAGAAAACAGAACATTCGCAGAGATCCTGATTGATTCATTGCTGAATACAACTCAAAATCATCCGTTGGAAAAAGGCAGATTTTGYTATTGAATTATCATCCCTTTAAGTTAATTGAAAACTCAGAAGAAACCACAAGGACAATATAATCAAAATAAATATTATTTTTGGTTTGTTTGTAAATCAATGCAGCAATGGAGGATATTGTGAAGTGATTGGGAGAGAATTAGACTATTGTGGTGGTTGGACTGGGCCTCATAAAGTGTACTGGACGGAGATTTGATCGTCAATTTACAGAATCAGTAGAGACATTGCCTTGTTGTGGTTAAAGGAAAGTTAACTGAGATCAGCATCGAAGAAGGGAAGATTTATTTTACGAGCACTGGAATAAGTATTCAATGCGAATTCCTTCCATGAGACAATACCTTTTTACAGCAGAAGTCGGTCTTATGATGCCAAAACCTAAACGAGGTATCAAGAAACGACTAATGAATAAATTAAGGTCTTTATTTTCACGTCAAAAATCACCGTCCCGCCGACTGCGTCRTAGTGATTCCAGCTCAAACCCTGCACCAACAAAACCCACAATGACAGAAAAACTCAGCAGTGTTCGAAACASGCAACCTGGAAAGCACGCTGCTCCTAGAGGAATTCGTTTCAGTCGGCGAGCAGTTCAGAGGTCGAAGTATTTAAGAGAGAAATTCGGTGTTCGCAAGACGGTGATGGGATTTAGTCCACGTGTTGGGTCTATTACTGAAGAAGATGAGAACGAGATAACRCTGTGGAGGTTGGCTGAGAATGCAGAGAATGTGATTTCTAATGGGCTTGTGTGGCTTCAGAGTGATTTTAAAGATTATGACAGCGATGATGATGATGATGATGATGATGATGATGAAAAGATACTTCAAAAGTGGATTGAGAACAATTCATTTGATGTCATGCAGGATAACAATATCGTTGATGCTGATGACAAGCCATTGTCTGATGATGGTGATGATGATGATGATGATGATGATGATGATGATGATGATGATGATGATGATGATGATGATGATGATGATGATGTTTTTGAAAGTGATGAAACCCAGTATAAAGTTGAACAGAATAATGATGGTATTAATGATGATGATGACAAAACGGATGATTACGATGAATCTGCTGACGATGACGTTGATGATAGCGATGATTCCGATGGTATTATTACCCATCATGATGCCAATTGTCACGCAATATCTGATTGTGTAGATTACGATAATAATGCTAATAATACTTCGGGAATTGATGACAGTGATGATCACACTAACAACAATGAAGTACTTCAATCCAAGGACAATGCTAATGATGATGACAATGAAGAGCACGGCCCTACACAGGATGATAGTCGTCCAGGCTCTAGCCCACTTGTCAAAACCTACAATGTTGATAATAATGCCAACGAAATATTGGATGGCTCTAATCTTTCTGAAGATAATATCAACAACAAAAATACACGTGGACATAATTATCATCATAAGCACGAAAATAAGATGCTTATTGCTTGTAAARGAAAGGAATCGGCTATCAACACTTCAAGTTCATACAAGTGCAACTACGTGGATATAAACTCAAATGACTGTCTACATCATTTAACCATCACTGACAGACCAGGTCCTAAAGATAAACTTTGTCATCACAATACCACCTCAAATGATATCAAAAGAATTCAAACAGTTTCAAAAATGCATGCCAAAGGTCGAGATAATCAACCACGTGATTTGAACAACCGCGAAACCGCAAATTGTCAAAATAAGATGATATTTGATGAGTATCAAAGAAGCAAGGAAAACAAGTCATGTGATAATTTATGGACAGTTCACTATAATGGATCAGTTGATCAAAGTAACTATAATCAAGTTGACGATGATGACAATGATTACGTTTGGGTCAGTGACGTCATTCGTGATTCTGCATCGAAAAGTGACGTCACAACTGTTGATTATGATGGTCGCCCTTCTGATCTTAAGAGATTGAAATCAAAATCTAGTCTTCAAAATACAGCGGGCAGTAGTATGTTAACAAATATTGATAACTATGACAACAGTGCTTTATCAAATAGTAAAGACAAATATACCATTGCCTATCAGCAGCTTCCTTATAGCTCTGTGCGCGGAGAACCAGAAACCATTGAAGAAACAGATACTTTACTAACTTATACAAAACCAAAGTCTCACGAGGCAGCGAAAGCAAAGAAACTTTCTTGGGGAGAAGATGAGAGTGACATGCATCTGGACAATGTGTTGAATTCAGTGAAAGAAGAAATTGAGGATGTGTGGACTCGTATTTCTACTCTTGAGAATGATTTTCATTTTGCAAGAACGACGATGAATAACATAAAGACATCGAAAAAGAAATAGTATCTAGAAACACTTTTTAGTGAAAGGAACTGGAATTTCAAATAGACAATATTAAGTATTTATTTATATGATTAATCTCAGTGTGTCAGTCTAACATAGGTGAATTGCAATTTGTTACAAATTATTTATAGTATATTACAATAAAATGACAGTGATGTAAGGATGGCTGAAGTGTAGGTTTTAACCTTTAGACTTTTTTCTTTGTTAAAAAAATTCCCTGTTTTTATGATATTTGTGGCGATAGGAAAGTGCTGAGCGCCTTGCCATTGAAATGTCWGCTCTCATAGGCCCTAATTAGTAGATCTTTCATGTTATGAGCTTGATCCAGGGGATTTGTTTTATATGCAAATGCTGTTCCGTCGAAGTAGAATGCATAATTTTGTTCTAAGTATACCCGCACTCCCTGAGCACTGGGCGCCTTGCCATTGTTTTGCTTCCATAGGTCCTCATTAGCCATAGGTATTTCATGTTATCTCCGTTTTGGTCCCTCTGTAATTTTGTTCTAAGTACCCGCAGTACCGGCAGGTTCCATGTCCAATTTTGGTAAAGCAATAAAGGGCTCATTGTACATTCTCACAATTTCTATAGATAAAGCATCGATATCTCTCGTCAGTACCAAGGAATGGATATCAAGGGACTTCGGATGATCGGACCAGAAACTCTTAAAACTTCTTGGACGCAGTTTTTTCTCTGGTGAACTCGTCATGGAAGGACGACTRCAAAGCGTCTTGGGAAATGGTAAGTGTATTCCTTCAATTGGTACCACTTTTTTCTCTTTTATACAATTATTTCTCTCTTTTGATGCAAAATCGTTGTTACGGGTTCCCTGTGTTAACTTGGGGATAGTCTTGGCTCCATAGCGCGGTGTATTGTGGGTGTAATTGTAATGCCGCATTGCGTTACTCGTCACRCGTCTTGTCAGACCATGTGATTGCGGCTCCTTTCTATGCTGTAGTCTTATTTTTGGGAGATTTAATAGCTTTGTTTTGTGTATAACTTCAGGGTTTTCCTCTGCGCTCTCTTCATGATCTCTCATGGTTTAAACTGCAAAAAAAATTTCAGTTTAAAAAGAACGTTCACATATCGACCTTATTAACAATACGGCCGCCATCTTGAATTCTATAAGATTCCGTAACAAACTGAGGTTTGCCAAGGAGAACTAAGCAAGAATTTTATTGACAGCACCGAGGATGCTATGAGGTTCAATTTTGTAGCAGAAAATGTGAACACATCGAAAAACACTGGGCATTTTATATGAAAAGAATTCAAATTATCAAAATCATCAGAGAACGTAGTAAGGTTGTATAACATAGTGTGTTATTGTTCCCTTGATATCCTATAATCTCCTCATGATTCAAGAGTCCGGTCATATTAGTATTAAGATCTATCGAGAATACGTTTTTGGGATTCATAGTTCGATTTTAAAAAGATAAACAGCTGAAAGCGCTAACAAAATAGAAGTCAAAGTATGTCTGACATGACTGTRATATTACATATCTTATACGCTATCTTGTCGAGATAAATGCGAGGTGGATAAACTATTGAGTATACATCATATATAGCGCGTGGAAACTCCTACATCATCGACGATTAGTGAAATCCCACATGGTAAATCTTTTATCTCCTTACCTTTAAATGTTTTCAACTATATGTATGGCTGTTTTAATTGCTATCCGTCTTTGAAGCATCGCCCGTCCTTAAGGCTTTAGTTGTTGTGTAGGCAGCGAATATGACCTATATCATGCGAAGTGAGAGCCGTTATTCTTTGGCATAGTCCTATGTGTCTTCCTTCATAACTGTGCTGGGCTTAATTTGTTTGTGGCAACGGCTGTCTTGTCTCTACAAGTCGCATGGACTGCATGGAGGGCTTGATGTGCAGTTAGGTCTGACCTCGGCTTGACCAAAATTCGCAAAATTCACATCATCGTATGGAATTACGGGTAGATTGAAAGAAACCTGTCAAGTCAGATATTGTGTTACAGATGTATTGTTTTTTCACTTCGACGAAAGATTAAATGTCCGAAACGTCAGTAAGTTATTGCACATACTTTTTTACGGTGATAAATTTATCTTTTTACACAACTGTTTCTTTAGAAACACCGACGCAGCTCACACTAGTTTACCGCTAGTTCCCACTAGATATTGTCTTAGATGTGTTGTGTTACGAAATCAGACCACGGAATTTATCAGCGCGTAGATTTTCACAAGGATGTGTATAAAACAGACGAAAATTGAAACTGAAAAAACGAAAATGAAAAATGTTAAAATTATACTTTTCTTYCAAAATGGCCACCAAACAATTTGTTGTGCCCGAGACAACATTACTCCTAAGATATATGCTCCAGTTAGGTACGATGTAAAACTTTAGCAAATTCCAATGAAAAGCTGTTGAAGTAAGATTCTAGATATCTGGGGCCGATAGACCTAACCTCCTAACAATACATTTCCCAGTAAAATAAGCAGATTTTATATCTGTAGGGATATCCATTAGAACTTCCTAAGGATTTTACAGCAGGGCTTCAAAGTGAAGCAAATTCTTAATTATATCAGGGATGAATTTATTGAGTAGCGGCCATTTTGAAGAACGGTCTACCAGAAGAGGTTGACTTAATAAGAGCTGAGAAATCTAGGCAGACCAAATACGAAAAGAGGGGAAAATGAAAATTATGAAGGGCAGAAAAAAACGAAATCTGACAACTCAGAAAAAGATAAGATAACGACAAAACCTCAAATATGATAGACAGACTTTAATGAAACTAAGAACAGTCAATSAATAGATATATAAAACTGACTGATTTGATAAGATCAAAAGGCAAATATGGCGAAAAGAAATCATTGTAAGGCCATGTAAAAAGAAATCTGACGAGATTGTTAATTCATTAATTATGGTTTCTAAATAAATACACCTACACCATGCCAGTCAATGTTTCTATTCTACACATCCTGTTTGACTATAACACGAAAAGTAAATATACACTAATATAACAAATGAGGCGTAAAGAGAAACTGTTCCAGGGTTTTTATCATATATTAATAAGACAGTCGATATGGAACTTGTTTTTAAGTTGAGCAAGAAAAATGTAAACGTTTCATTATAGGCGAAGTTTAATAACTTGAGAATGACGTTCTGAAAGGTTTTTGTCACATATATCTATATTTGAATAGTTAAGTAAATAAAGTGATTGTCTGTCGTAATGATGTACTTAGATAAAACATCAKACCTCTTTGTATTCTTTTGTTCAGATCGATTAGTACAAATCACACATAATCTTTTTCTTTTCAGATGCATTTCAAAAAATCACTTTATCAAGATTATGGAGTGGTACCTCTGTTAAGCGGTCACCCTAAAAACCGGCTGTTTTATAAAGTTTGGTCGCTTAATAGAGGGTGCATGAATATAGGTTTTAGGATTTTTTTTATTGTGGGCGTTTAAGAGAGGGTGGCCACTTAATCATAGGCCGCTAAATAGAGGTGCCACTTTACCTCTGAATTCTATAGCTTGTTGGAGAATATTGAACCCTACTGAATGCATACGTTACGTAGTGAATTTACGGGCGTATACGTACCAGTATACTTGACGTATACCTAGAGTATTCATATTCAGTACTATTGAATGCATGCGTTACGTAGTGAATTTACGAGCTTATACGTAACAGTATACTTGATGTATTGAGTCGGTATTCATATTCTATATCATTGAATGCATGTATTACGTACTGAATTTACGGGCKTATACGTACCAGTATACTTGACGTATACCTAGAGTATTCATGTTCAATACTACTGAATACATACGTTACGTTTTGAATTTACGGGCGTATACGTACCAGTAAACTGTGTGTAGGTATGCTCCCCCTAGGCTATTCAACCCAATAAACTTCAGTAGTTTTCAGAAGAAATTCTTTAGAAAAGGACGATGAGGATTCACTACCGGTGATACGTACGTACCTTACGTACCTTACGTACCTTACGTACCTTACGTATGAAGTCCGTGGAGTTTGTGGTCAAATGTTTTAAGCTAGTCACAGCAAATGTTGATAGAGGCTGCAAACCTAACCCTAGTCTTGACGGCACTGTCAAATTGCAAATGGGCATTTTCAGTGTCTGATTTTTGCGTGTCAGTTTGGCTATTTATGCTATTAGAATGGTTGACGCGATGACTTTCACAATGACATCTTAAAATATAACTAATWGCTCGTTTAAAATAAGGAATTCTAAAGGCGTAGAGATAAGGATTGACGACAGAATTGAGCAACACAAACCAAAACTGCACATCTCTCAACCAATGRATCACCTCACACGAGCATATCTCGCAGAAATTCATAGCAAAGATGATCGCRCAAGCTGGTGTGAAGCAACACATGTAGCACAGCAATAAGAGCGCAAACACGCGCGTCACCTTCTTTTCYCTTGYGATTATCTTAAGCGCGAGTTTTGCCTGTCTCTGATCCTCASTSTCYTGCTTTAAACGAGMTTTATGTTCGCAGCTATGCGCTCTCAAAACCATGAAGATTCTCTGGTAGGTAAAGATCAAAATCACAAATGTAGCAGCGATRGCCGTSGCGGTGAATACAATTGACTGAATAAGAGGCCCAACAATGAAATAAATCGCTGATACCAAGAACGAAATGATCCAAATAACCACACTTGTCAAGACGTAATTCCTACTCGATACTGTCTGTCTGGAGCGGTAGCTCTGCGTAGATGCGGCTGCGGTATACCTTTCAGCGGTTAGCACCCCGAGGCTTAGTATCGAAGCAGTGCAAGTCGTGAAGTATAAGTAATGGTGCGCTTTTTGCAGCTCAGCGAACTGCAGTCCCAGGCCCTCTCTAAAGTGATACACYGCTGACATAGGTTCAGTTATTAACCCAACTGTCAAGTCAGCCAGAGCGAGGTTGACGATGAAAAAGTTGAATGGAGTGCGTAGTTTATTATAAGGGTCGATGAACACTGATAGGCATACTAGGATGTTGCCAGGGATTGTTAGCAACGAGAAGAGTATTGAAATGGCTGCTGTAGAGAAAGAAAGCTCAATGGGTGCTGGGACTCGGCAATCGGGCATCGTGTGTTGTCTTGCAGTAGTTGGACTCTTTGCCTTTATATCGATATGGCCTGAAAGATTAATTATTTATATCACTGTCATATAGGTTAATACTGCTATGTATGCGGGTACACCTAAGGGGTATATGTAAGCTGTGGTGAGATCCGACACATTTGGAACCTAACTCTCACTATACAATAAAAAAAACAATGCATTGCCGGCGTTTATTCTGCGGTTTCTGCATATCTTATTAGTCACATTTTTTCTAAACATCACTAGATTTCACTAACAGGTCATGTGACCACATCTAGGTCACGTGTCTTAATGTCACCCAAATAAGGAAGCTAAAAATGAGCACCTTGCAACTATAACAAAGTTTCAACTTATTGAAATTACAACAAAACGTTTACTCAAGCCGAAAGACAAGTGCACTAAACTTGGCATTTCATTTCACAACAAATTCTGAAACAGAGTCGCACTCTCTGTGTAGCCATGCAACGGAACCTATATGTTACCTATCAAAATGAAATGTTTTATTAATTAAAAAAGCCGACATACGGGAATATTAAAAAGGAAATTGCGATTTAACTTTAATAATGAAGTTAGTATGAAACGCGATTAATTAATAGCTCCCCCTAAAGTAGCTAAGGAAAAGACTCCCGCCTTGATCGACCTTTATGTTGCCAATGGAAATCGTCGGCACTCTGAACTAATTTAATATAGCTCGTAAAGGTTGTCGCGGTGTTTAAAAATACTTTTAATAACCTATAAAGAGATTATTGTGATCTATTTTATTTATAAACGAAATTGAAGTGTATCGTACAGTGTATCTAGGGTTTAGCGTTAGGGTTTTTGAATACAATCAAAAATAGGTAAATCAGAGAAAAGAGTTTCCGCTTCACTTTTAATGCCAAAAAGTAAGTAGAGGCGACCTTCATTGACATTAACCGAAACAGAAATAAAACGTAAAAAGCGCCTTAGAGAATGTCATTCGCTAGCGATTTGAAATGTTCAATATTCAAAAACAGTGAAAACTAATCGCGCGGCATGTCTGCATAAGATGCTTGAGAAATATGATATTTGAACCTACAAAAAATCCCGAAACTCGACAGCTTTTAAACCGTTTGAAAGCCCGCCTTTCCTTGATGGAGAAAACAAGTAAATAGATATCTTGCGCAATGAGTTTACTAAGCATTATTCAGATCATTTTCTCTGAAAGTAATTCATACGATGTCGTGAACAGGCAATTGAGCATAATTTAAAAACAAGTTATGGTKTGAACAAATGATTTAAATGAACAAAAACTGGGAATAAGTACGCTTAAGTAAGTATTCTAAAGCAATGGATAGTCCTATCATTTTCCCCCTCAGTTAAAATTTCCAATAAACTTTCGGAYATTGGCTTTTATCAAAGAGCAACGACGTAGATAGAGGATAGAAATCTTTCAAGCTAGATTCTAGCTGTATGGCTAAGCAAATTTCCGACTGTCTTGTTTACAAAGTAAAATAAGCATCAACTTCAAGCCTAAGAAAACTCTTTAGATTATGCTATGAATGGTGGAAAAACTAGCGATATTCCAGTGTGATCGTTTTTTATATTAAAACCACTATAATAAAATTATATGATAAATTAGACACCTTACAGAGAGGGACAATTTACGGACATTAGTCATTTGTCGAAGCAAGTACTAGTATTAATAACAGCGAGAAAGATGGTATTTTTCAATTTCAATTGCAACGGAAATTATTAGTAGTTCTGCTCGAGTTAATCTTTTAATGGTGACGAAAAGGAAATCAAAATTTCATTTTCTTTTTACATCTTAAAAGTCTATTATTTTCTACCCACAAGAGAAAGACTCATAGGAATATGGAATAGGGATATGAAGATATTTTTAAAAACCTTTAAATAGATATATATTTTTAAAAATTGTAACTAAAATTGGAATAAAATATAGTTGGAAACCTACCTGTCTACAAAGCGGACTATGGTGTCAATGCGTTCATCGATTTTCCAGTSTTTTCTCCCCCGACGCGCGCGTCGTATCCTTTTTCTCCCCTCAATATGTTAGGATCACATTAGTTTCGATGCGACGCGCTTTGTGGATTGAAAGATTTCCCCAATTCACCCAGTGGACGTCAATCATTTTCAGATGACGTCACAGGAAAATAAACACCTTACTTTTAGAATGAAAACGTTTAAAGTGCTCCTAATGTTTGATTTTTCCCCAATCAAAAATAGTAATCAAAAGTTATAGRCACATAAAATGGAGAGTTAAAAACAATTGGAAATTTGACGTAATCCTGAATTTTTGAACCATTTTGAAAGCTATCTATCTCCTTTCAGAACCGCTTGTTTAAGGGAGACTGGTGCTCGAATACGTCTTCGTGGTACATGCAGAGTGACATGTATATTGGTCAGCTTTTTTGCTATTGAAAAGCTGTTTTTCGAATAAAAACTTTTAAGAACGGCAAATACCTTCCGAAAGTTATTCAGGAAGCGATTATTCAAAATTTAACGTTTGACTCCGATGACGTATAAGGCTATCGCTCCAGGACTTCGCATTTCGTGGCGCTGCAAGTTGGAGAACGACTGGATACTAGTTTTTCTAACTTTATCGCGGTTTAAGAAAATAAGGATTTATTCAAAATCGGAAAAAAGTGCAAAAAAATATTGGGGATTTATTTCATTTAAGGAAAAAATCACACATTATGAGCACTTTAACAGTTATTCTAGACACAGTCAGAATGTCGAAATGATATCCGTAAGAAGTAACCGCACACAGCATGGTGAAGCGTYATTTTTCAAAGCAATGTCATGTTTGAATGGGATTATTCATCAGTGTCTTGTAGAACCAATTTAGGATTCACTGGATAATGGCGCCAGGCTTTTGAACAGCTGTTTTCGTTCTTTTTGAGAAACTAATCGAAACAAAAAAATAGTCTCTCTTATGGAAAGAATTCTTCGAAATGCGACGGGAAAGTGTCGTATTCTTACCGTGCAGAGTATGAAAGCCATTGATGAGTTTGTGAAAACAGGCGTACGAATCCATGACAGGCCAACATCATCACTACAAATTACTTTAAGATTAGGATGTGCAAGATAAAGAGCAACATGCGGTACATGGCAGATTGTGAATAAAACTATAACAATCGCTACAGTTGCACATACGCGCCTTTCCATGAGCTTCTCGCGCGCAGATGAAGTAGAAGACATCGCATTTGTTGATTGTACCGTTTTAGAGCATATCTTGTGTAGAATTGTCACGTAGGAGCATATCATAAGAGCAAAGTTTAAAATTACAACTATTTAGGAAACTACCACAAATACTTTGAAAAAAAAAACAAAAAAACAAAAATAAAAACAAAACAAAACAAAACAAAACAACAACAACAACAACAACAGACCAACAAGATGCGTAGCAGTATGGACACAAGCCAGTAGGAACCAATTTGTACCATTTTTATGATGTCGCAAGATGTTATATTTATCCTGTATGGACGGTAGATAAAGGATATAACATGCGAGATGCGGACATATACGACTGTGAGGGGAACGAGTTGAAGATAAAATCCATATCTTCCAAGCGACCAAGTAATATTCTGTTTATCATATAATTATCCACAAAATCAAATCATCTTTTAAAAACAACCTTTATTTCACCTCATATATGTAGACATACAATGGAATTGCTCAGGGCTTATAAAGCTAACGGAAAGAACCGAAAGTTTTCGAAATTGATTAATACTAGGTATTTCATAGACTATTTTATAATGAACATATTTAAGCTTCATAATTTCTATGTGAGCAATCCTTTGAAATATCATTAATGTCTTGGTATACCAACGCCATTTAACACTAACGAATGGGTTGTTGAGGAACAAGCATAAAGATTTATAAAAATGTCATTTTTTTAATTTTATAGTTTGTCATCTGACTTAACTTAAAATAAAGCTCGCTTTTGCATGCACCAATTAAAACGTAGAACAGATTTCGATTTACGAGTAGAAATGTCGCAAATTTTGTGAGAARTTGATATGTTTTTCACCCCACAAAACACCTGGCTTTATTCATTAAGAAGTCAATGGTTTTTCACTTAGSCTCTGTACATGTCAAAATGTCAAAAGATGTGCTATAGGCTATAGTGTAGTGCCACGATCCGTGAGCGAATTGTTCTTATTAATCCTAACAGGGTACATGTTTCAGTTTCTTTGTCTTCAATATTTGTTTATTAATTCAGATCTTTTTTATTCAATTGAAATCCGAATTAGGAAATATAAAGCTCTCTTTACTTCTTCTTGCACTCCCTTCCCTCCCTCCCTTCCCTCCTTTCCCTCCCTCCCCTAGTAGTAATTTTCTTTTTTATATTCGAAAGAAACTAATCTATGATGGTAGAAAACTAGCGAATTTCATAGCTTATGGACAAAGACCAGCCTCTGCAGGCCACCATTTTGATATCTGTTGCCATCCCAACAGGTTTTTTCATCAACAAATTGAATTTGAGCTGGTATAAGTTGAAACGCTAAGGGATATATGTCAAATTTAATGATAGCTTTAAGTCAACTACCGGTTTTTTCTGTGAATGGATGTCTGATTAAACCTTCAAGCCCAGACACATTTAACGAATGGAAATAATTGAGACTGCRGTCACCACTTATTCAACGTCAAAAACTTTCTGAGTGCTCTTAAAGTCCTGTTCAAATGCTATGATATACTGTACTTTGATTACCTTATTGATGATTGAAATGCTTTTTTTTTTTTTTCCTCTTTGGACGTAATTTTGACCTGGMTTTGTCATTTTTTAAAAGGTTTAATTCAATGTGACCTAAAGATKAAATTTGGTGCTGTACTTGCAATTTAGTGTCAGTTTATTGAATGAGTTTTCGTTCTTTCAGTGCAATATTAATCGTTTTCGGGAGTGATCGTCTTTTTTTGTATGTCAAATATTATTGCGTGCATCACTCTATCATTCAATGCTTTAGTTGCACATGACCAAGGATTCCCCGAAARAAAGGACACTGTTATCGTCGCCATGTTGAATGAATGGTATTTTTAGCCAACATGGCGGCTATGACGTAACATACAAACAAAAAATTGTTGCTGGTTTTTCATTATTATTTTGGTGTTAAGAAAACGTAAAGAAAACTTCAACGTAAAAGTACGAAAAAAAGTGATAACTATTATTATTATATGTCATTTCAATCGCCACAAGGAAAAATAGTTATATTAAGGGAAAGGCACAAAATTATTTATAAAATGTCGATAATTTATAAATTGGTGCGTTTCACTTAATATAACTATTGATTATTATAGAATGSAATGATTGAAGACAAATGACCCGTTTTATTAKGGGCTATTATGTATATATTTTTTATAAATGTGTAGATCAAACGGCCATCTTACATACATCGTTTTAAATCCACTGATTCACAAACAAAATATGATTCAGCTCTCGAATAGTAACATAAAATATAAGTAAATGTGATTTAAGTGCTTAATAAAATGTGAATCAGTTKGACAAACAGTGTCAACTGAATTACCAGCAGAACTGCACAAAGTTTGCTTTTTTACGTTTTTATGATGACAGTTCGGACAGTCATTTTTGTTCGAGATATTTATTGTGACAGTTTTTCAATTAGAAAATGAATTGAATRTTGGAAGATGAATTGATTATGTCAATAGAAAAATAGAGAAAGCAAGTATGGGAACAGAAATATCGTTTTAATCATGAGCAATGTCAACAGTCATCTCTTACGAGTTTCCGTTTGTGTCTTGAAAATTAAAAAAAAAATACATCGTTTTATAAGCAAAAATTACTTTTTTCTCTTTATGTCTGTGAATTGAGATATTTTAAGATTTGATCTTTCAACCGACGAACGTTTTAAAGTTACCTAGTTTCCATATATGGAAAARTCTAAAACACGACCGMATTGAATGACGGGTGTYAATTAYTCRCTTTCGAACAAAATGTACAAATKAGGAACGCCCTTYCATYYAACATGGCTGCTATGATGTAGTTATTAACCAAAGTAAATGGATAAAGATTGAGAAAACTATTGTTTTAATTGGCGAGTCCATTACCTACTATGATATTAGCTACTTTCCACTGAGACGTTTTTGAGAAAAACTCTGATGTCTATCCTATACTATCTGTCCTATACAAACTTTCACGGCTGATGTTCCTGATTTTGGGTTTCCTGTTTCTTCCCATCGTTAGCAGCAATCTCGTATCCTGAGGCTTCGTCTTCTTGGCCCGTTTTAATTTTGACGACGGCGCTGGCCAAGAAAACACTGGAAAAAATCGCGCGCTCTAAAGGTTGTAAATTTGATGTAAATATGATGTAAGTGTCCAAAATTCTGTAAATTTGATGTAAATGATTTCTATTAAATTTACAGAATTTTGGACACTTACATCATGTTTACATCAAATTTACAACCTTTAAAGCGCGCGATTTTTTCCAGTGAAAGCGAAGGCTCGGGGTACGCGATTACGTCAACGGCTGCAACGAAGGATCTAGTGTGCTTCTTCTTGAATTACGCGCAAGTTCSTTGGTGTTTTAATCCCAATACGAGGGAGTAGAGTTCCAGTAGGCTGATTCCATTTACCGACAATCTCAATACATATATCATCAATGTCATTACTATCTTTCTCAAATATTCCGTATTTTCTCTTCAGATTGGCGGCGTGAATGCTCAAAAATGACGGCATTTCGTTCCAGAATTCTCTCAGTTGCTTCAAAGTCAGRTTATGCCCTTCAATTAAGGAAGATGTGAAGTCCATTCCTCCGCGGTCAGCGCCTATGGACTCTYTATTCTTAGAAGAAGTTGTCGCTGCTCTGTGATTCGCTGTCTTCAAGTTGGTAAGCTTTAAGTTTTTCATAACTCTTTCAATTTCTCTCTCCTTCTCTGATTCCAAGTCAAGTTTTCTTAATGTTGGAATTAACTCTAAACTGTGCAGYTTATGTTGAGTCTTTGTCTTTCCAAGGGGCATAAAAGGAGGTTTTAAAGCGTTTCTCTTTTTAGATACATCGGTAGCTTTCTCAGATCTTGCCTTAGCTTTAGGGGCAAAATTCAGCCCCAGGCGACCCCCAGTCGAGGAGGTTTTGGGCTCAGTTATTGTCTTCGGACGTTGGATTTGTTTTGGGCTGTATTTAAGTGTTTTCAGAGCGTCTAGTAGATGTACAGGATAAGGTTGGTATTTCGWGACTTTTTCGTCCAAAGCAGATAATGACATTTTGAATGCTGAAGAAAGAAAAACAAGTTGTCCAGTTAATAAAAAATAAAATATTATATTGAAACATTTTCTTAGCCAAAGAATTCTCATAARAGCCGTTGTACTCCGTAAAGGAGATTTTAATCACACTATGTAACTCAGAAACTATTAGAAAAATCGTGTCAAAATCCGCTAAAACTGAAAGTGTTATAGGATGATAACCGTTTAGTGTCGGTATGGAAATTTTTGTGCTGTTAAATTATTTAATATAATATTGTAAAATTTCTATAATTTTTTCAGAAAAACACTACAAAACGTCCCTGAAATTTGCTGTGAAAGGTCGTTTGGCAGTCTAGTCCCATATTTTTGCATAGTACTAAAGTTGCTTTCTTTAACTTATATTCATTGTCTGTCAGTTATCGATCATATATGAATATTTACGAGCAATATTTTCATTTGTAAGTTTTATATATTTTAACTTTCGATTGAATGACAATAGAAAACTGTAGTGGATCAGAATTTTGAATCAAGTAGTTTGGATGAAGGAGAAAGATATCAGTTTCATTTTTTTAATCAATCTCCTAAACCAGCTTACTCGAGTTTTACTCAATGTTTGTAATAAAGTCGCTCTAGAGATTTTTTTTAAATTTCGCTATAATTACAAAATTGTACTAAAATATCGTGAAAAGTTAAAATCAGTCACTTAACTCAACGAGTCAAAACGCTTCTATATATTTACGTTAACTCTTTCTCATCAGCTAACATAACTTTCTACTCCAGATACTTTCTGTTTAAACGGTTTGCGATACAATTCTCATGTAATGTCGTTCTAAATTTGAAGGTTAAGCTTCGTTGCACAGCTTGCCCCAAAGTGAGATTTAGTCAATGTAACTATTAGGCAATTYAATAAAGAAAGTWCAAAAATATCAAGGTGGCTTAGCTACCAGAAAGTCCCTTAAACTTACCTTTTAAAGTCAGAGTTCATATCTTTCAGATTCGTCTAAACAAATCCGTATCTATGGCCATTTTAGAGAGATCATTGGCACCTTTCACAATGCAATCGTAATTGCATAAAACCTTCATTATGCGAACTCTATTAGCATCATTATGTCTGAACCATAGTTTTGTTCTTTGGTTAACTTTAATTCTTCTTTAGTTACAGATTTGTAACATAAGCGGTTTACAAAACTCTCGGGTTTGTTTGTTCGACTCACTTGAGGAATGTGGAAGCAGTTTTAGTATGCAAATCTGTGATATTTGTCGATGTCAAACAGTGATTATAACGTCATTAGAATCAATGTGTGCTAGCCAATCARGATTTGAGATGTATAAAAMTTTTGCGTYATAACCTGCAGTTAGTGGTAGGGATTTCGAATATAAGAAGGAAGGAAGAAGAAGAAGGAAGGAAGGTAGTTTCTAGTTATTCTTCTAAAGTTCTCAAAAAAATTCTGTGAAGAGCACAACACAGCACAGCAGAACATTACAACAACACATAAACAACATGATAAGATATCGTGCAGACAGAATTCAAGAACAAAATACCATTATCATATTTTTTCTATTTTACCTTTAATCGTACAAACTGACAATTGTCATGACAAGGAGTCTTTGTCATTAGATGAAATACATTGCGGTCGCAGTAGAGAAAGAACGATCGCTTAAAGCAGACCTGCGGTCGGTCGTATAAAGGGGAGGGGGGGGATAACGCTATTCATCGGATGAATCAGTCAGTCCAGCGGATTAAATCCATACAAAATCGAAGAAGTAGACCACTGAATGATTTGGATAGCTCTATCCAGCCTTTATACAACCAGATTTTTTTCGATTATACATTTATTTTTCTATGATTCCACCATCATAGGTCAAATTTTTGGAAGTCTCACTTCAATGTACTTCTTTGTAGTATCTTCTTCACAAGGAACCAGTGTCTTTCTCTGCGATGAACTYCCAGTAGCTTTTCTCATGTARCGCAAAGTCTCGGGTGAAATGGTCGGTAGCTTGTAAAWAGGACTWCTTGGGCGATAAAGCTCTATAGAWGATGAATCYSTATTGGTTGTTTCRAGCATAGCTTGAGCCAGTAATGGCGCTACCAATCGTCTTGGAGTAACTTCTATATCAGGAAATTCAACMCCCTGTCTGTGTAATATTGCATTTCTTTGATTYAATAACGAGCARTCGGCACAMGGCCCTATGACRTCACAATACTGACGGCCAAAACCGCACTTTGCCTCGTATAATCTGTCATCTAAATAAAGTCGAAACTTTGACTCTCCGTTCACAAAACCACCACAATCACTACAACGACTGTCTCTGAATAGTCTTTCTCCCATTTTGCGATTGTTTGAGATATAGTCTTTGTAATGTCTCATGGCTCCGCTGTGTTTTTGTTTGTACCAGTATTGTAGACCTCCAGAGAGTTTGTCTGATAAACTTTGGAAACCAATCTGTTGTCTKGCTTTGRTTTGAGCTGTCTTTGGTTGCCAGTCGACTTTCTGTTTCGCTGTTATGAGGCTGAGCTCTCTTGATGTTTTTATAAGTGGTATATGTTTTTGTTTTTCAGTGAACGGCATGATTCTTCTTCAATTTGAAATATAAAATTTTATGAATCGGAAATTATTCTTTGAATGTCTATAACTGCTGATTTTCAATCGTTTTTAGGTGATTTTTTTTAGTTTGTTTTTTAAAATCATTCACATCTAAGTTATAAGTGGAATCCTTTGTCTTTAGCACTTGAATGGCGCTAGTCCATTAGCCCGGCGTCATCATTTAAAGCTAATTGCAAACAATTAGAGTCATAGATTGCTAGATTCTTCAATGTCCATTCCTATTCACGATTGTCATTTTACTTGTTCACACAAGATCCAAGATACTGTTTGTGAAGCTGAGCCCTTCTGACATCACCTTTGAATCATCAAAATCCAGAAACTAAAGTCCAGTCTTTAAAAATKACTTCTCACGACTGCAAGCGTCTCTAATCAAATCCAATTGGCTCCTTTAAAGTTTAGTTTTCCGAGTCGATGCTTTGCGTSTTTCCTCCTCTTTTTTAACTATAACCACAGACTTGTTTTCGCGTAAAATTGAGGATATATTCAACATATATGTAATTTGTTTACCGTAACTGGCATTCCAAAGCCCTTGACTACGTATTTGGTAATCTAATGAGCACTGAATCCAACAATAGAAAGGTCATCCTTCCTTTTGAAAAGCTATCTTATGCACTGCTGTGATTGGACAGCGGGACACTTATAAGTCTTACAAACTCAGTCAGGCGTTACACACGCTGTAGGAAATACCACAGGTAGCCCACAATTAAATCCTTCATTTCATCTTTAGATATTTCTTGACACTTTTATAAATTATAACTCGTTAACGATATAAGCACTTCAGAAACTTCTATATTACGGCCGCCAAAGAACCTCAGAAAAGTGTCCGTCATTTTGAGGTGCCCGTTGATATGTTAACTTTACAGTCAACTCTCGCTATTACGGACACCCTCAGGACCGTAATTTAGTGTCCGAAGTAGCGAGAGTCCGTACTAACATTAGTTACTTTCAGTCATTTCTTTGTATTTTACGCCGGGAATTCCGTATTTCGTGTCCGTAATATCAAGAAGTCCGTAATAGGGGGGTGTCCGTAAGGCGAGAGTTTCTGCAATATAGAGGTGTCCGGAATATAGCTGCCCGTAATATTCTTCTGTTCGTAATACATAGGTTATTCTGTAGTTGGGGTTTGTTGCCGATGAATGAAAGAAAAAAATCCACTAAGCCTYCCTTTAAAGTCATTCTTCATCAAAGCGTAAAGGATTGGATTGATCATTGACGATCCAGCGATTGTGAACAGGGATATCTCTGACAGTAAAGGTGGTATAAGATCTGGTCTGTTAAGCACCACCCCAACAATGGTCATATAAATGACAGGAAGCCAGCTGACCAGGAAGACAGACACCACCACAAAGAACACCTTGACTGTCTTACCCTCGAGTGATGCTCTTCTTGCACCTTCCCTCTGCTCGTTGGTCATGTTGATTCTCTTTCTCATCTGTGCCGTATGAGAACGTAAACGCAGCCAGATACGTATGTACGCAGCGACGATAAAAACGTAAGGGATGATTACCAGTATCAGTAGCGTTGAAACGTTGAAATATTTGTGATACGTCGTCTTTGAATCTGCTTCCCAAGCAAGTGGAATAAGTGTAACAAGTGAAGGAATCGACCAGATGGCGATGAGAATTTTCTTTTGAGATTTTTTCAGTTTCCCTTTGTATCTAAATGGYTCGATGATTGCTACGTATCGTTCCCACGTAACCGCACAAAGGTTCATCACGCCAGCGATTAAAATRAAAAATATCAGATAGCCAGTTACGATGGAATGCGGGAATATRTACAGCGGAAAAAAGATCGCGCCAGTTAACGTATCAGAAATCGCAAGAGAAACCACAAAGATGTTAGTATACGTCCTGAGTTCCTTGATACAAAGCACCATAAATATGACTCCAGCGTTAGTTGTGGTGACAAGAACAGATGCTATCGTCAGACCTACCTCCATGGCTAGAAATAATGATTTTTTTTCGAAGATTTCAATGTTTATGGCCTAAGGAAACAAAGAAAAAACGATATTAAATTGTCTTACAGGGATTGTAGTGGCGACGAGTCATAGATTCTATTATTAACAATTAACTCCTCTGTGGCTAGAAATAACACCTTTTTTACGCGAATTTTAGTGTTWAGACGTAAAAGGGTCGACAAAATGATATGTTTTGTTCTCGCTATTATTAAATACAATTTGTTTTCAAKGAAAAATAAACATGTTTACCTTAAATCCTTTAACGACATTGGTCAATATGAACCTTATTCATACATAACCATTTGTGCAAAATAATATGTCTGTAATTCATTAGTTCTTGCATTGAGATCTCATAGAATGAAGCATGTTTTAGAATTGTAATAAGTATTTTTAATGAGTTATCTCATTTAYTGGAACAAAACGAGGCGCCGGCGGAAAGTCAGCGAATCTCATCATGAACATTTTTGAAAAACTGCCAATCACGAMCCAAGAACTTAATTTTTCTCGGCGATTTGGAGAAGGAATCTTCAGTAGAAGTGCAATTGGTCAYTTTAAGAGTCGGTAGATGACATGATAAAAAGACGAATTGCTCTATTTTAAAATTCGACTTTCTCTTAGTTTTTAATTCGATCTTTTAATTATGATGTATATTTGCTCAGTYGGCAGTCTGTTTGGAGCCTAAAGGTGGCTGTGATAGTTATGCRTGACATGAYTAAATGAAAAAAAGGAAAATTAGAAAATAACTCCACTTGGAAACGACTGAAAAAAAGAGAAATTTAAACAATGGAAAACGCCGCAATGCTATTCGTTACAGAATGATATCATTTAGTATTGATACTCCCGGTTTTTTTTTTACAGAATTCAATTATCTGTAGTCAGCTCAGCAGTTAGTTATTATGTTCTATAAAAACTGGATTTCATCAAACGGAAAGATATGCTATGCGGAAAATTCTACGTATATTTTGAGCAGGGCCGTTTCTACGTATATTTTGAACGTACCCAGGGGTATGTCCACTTAAAGGAATTTSATCAGAAAGATACTTTAAAAGATAAGTTTGACACACAAAGCCTATTTATAGTGTAATTTATAATCTTGTAGGAACAACCCTTTCCTAGATGACTAGATCTCCRTCGCAAATGCCTACAACTRATTAAAATGCATCTAGACGTTRTTTYTTGCTTTCGGCGAAATTTTGTGTTACGCTTTTGAAAAATATCACTCCAAATTATCTGAAGTCTATAAATATATTCTGTTGGCGTCTTTAAGGCCCGTTTACACTTGCGATTTTTGCAGAGCGATTCTCGCAGCGATCGTCGCGCAACCACCGCCTGAGTTTAGAACATGCTTGAAAATTGGCCGCAATTTCGTATGGAGATTAACAATTAACAATCGCAGGGCTGTTTACACGTACAATTTTAGTTGCGCGATAGCAAAGTGGCGATTATCGCGCTGTAAGAATCGCAAGTGTAAACGGGCCTTCAGGGAAAAGAGTTCATGTTGCTATTTTAGTTCCGAGTGCTCTCCCTCTTGGAAAGTGCTCTCGGCTACAGCTCTCTGATACTGATACTGTACAATATTGCATGAGGCATATTGTTATCATTACTTTTTTTAATTTTGTTATACTGTCACAGCTTGTTAKTAATTGTAGAAATTAATCTTCCGGACACGTCGTCAACTATTTTTTTTTAAATGAGGATGAACGAAAGTCCGAATACTTWAAAGATTTTAAATTTGATGCGACAGACTTGTGTCGCTTAAGCAACAAACATGTTAAATTTTGAATTACTGTTCAGAATTATACGTTTAAGATTTGAAAATGTGTGCTTGCTTATGGCGGTAGCTCTGTAATAATAATGCTAATTAGGCAAGAAAATACGGAAGTCATGAAAAAGTTTGATTGAAATATCTTTAAATCTTTCTATTTTCTTTTCGTGTTAAATTTTGAAGGTTTTATTTCGATAAGAACCTAGAATAACATGTAAACAAATTTGAGGCGAACGACTAAACTTGATTTGTCTTCAAGGCATGTTTATTCAAAAATCCAATTTATCTTTGTAATTATTTACTTCCGAGTYTTGCACTTTTGTATCAGCGCTTCTATACTGATATAACAGTACTTCTTGTTCTAGGCAAATCAGAACTATATTTATGATAGTCGAAACAACTCACCGAATTATGATCARYTTGAGTTAAGGTGAATGTGTATAGTTTTGCGCGCAAAARTCTTAGCAATAATCAACCGATTTGTATGCATCCYMTCTACGAAGCGTCATTATTGCCTTTTCAATTTATTTCGGAAATTTCTCTCATTTTCGTGGCAATGTCCAATTAAAAATCTCAACCTCTTCTTCTTTTTCCTTATCTAATGCCCAAAAAAGTAATTTAMCGTTATAAGCCGGCTATAGCTAAACAATGTCGGCAGTTTCAAAAGSTTTCGTTTTATATTCGTTAACATCTCAATCTAATAGTCCTTTGTAAAGTTTTGCGTGTAAATTCGRCTTTTAATATGAAACACCATGCTTTTATTTGATGAAAGTAATTTTTTAAAGGCAAACGAATTGCCAACTATCCCGCAAAGACGTATGGGATTGTTCTCTTTCCTAAATTGTTGATGGCAGAGCGWAAGGAATTTAAAGTGAGCTTAGGTCTTAGTGTATACAACTAAATAAACAGAATGTACATCAATGCAAATAGATTATTCGCTTAATGAAGTTAGTGTTAACGTAGAACACATGTAAATTAAATTTTTGAGCAGAAAATTGGCACATGTTCGATGGTGTTATACATTTTCGACGACATTTGTAGTCCCGCGCATGTACAATTGCAATCTCCATTTCCCACTATATTTGCAGTAAGCTCATTTGAGACTGTCACTTATCTCTTATGCGCAGTCATTTTTTGTTGGGACGCATAGAAGCCGGAAGAGGACGAAGGAGATATTGCAGTCAAACGCCCCTCGTACTTACATATACACGTACGATCAAATTTTACGTTCGCAGGGACGCATGTGYTCTACGATTAAATGCTTACGTGAAGAAATCTTTCCTTGTGTTTCCCATTCTTCTGTCTACCTTCAATTACATAGGCGCGCACTGTCAAATACGTACGTACGTACACGTGCGGCGTAGGTGCTGTTAATGTGTYAAGTACGTAGGTTGAGAAACCTTTCATTGTGTTTCCCATTCTTCCGTCTGCCTTCAATTGCATATGCGCGAACGGTCAAACACGTACGTTCACACAGTCTACGTGCTGTAAATAGTCAAATACGTACGTTAAGAAACGTTTCCTTGCATTTGCGTGTACGGTCAAATACGTACGTGCGTTTGGGCGGTCGTGCAACACTGCATTTCGGTCTTGGGAATATCTTTAGAATCCAACATTTTCTGAAATATCTGTATATCGGTTTATGGTCCGTACAATCATATTTCTTTATTGTGTCCTCTATTTATCCATAATTTGTTCACAATTTGACTTAACTACCTACCTAGCCTTATTCAGCAGGGTTCATTCTATCAAAACCCGCTATCAAACCTTTTCTGTGTTGAGAAGTAAATGAAACCATTTTTTTGTGGCCTGGCTCCTCGACTAACTGGTTTTCTCACTGCAAATTGCAGTTGCATCAGCTTATTCTGACCCAAACTATACATTTTCTCTTATCTCAACAGGAATATATTGGCAAAGGAGAATTTGGTGTGTTTAATCTAGAAGTAATTGCATTGAATAAGGTACATTTAATCCTCTTCGTGTTACTGGGATGGCAGATATTTTCCAACGAAAACTGAGGTGAATGGGTCTAAACAAAGTGTCTGAAATGATGGACTCCTGAGATTTGAACCTTTAATATGCCAATGTGACAACGTTTCTTCAATTTGATGTATACAGCCTCACTCTCTATGATCTGTAATATATGATCTACCTTTTCAATGTGACAACGTTTCTTCAAATTGCTGTATGTTGATTGTTTTCCGTTCATCTCCAGAAGCTGTTTTTGTTTTTACAACGTATTGATCATTTGTCGTTGCTAATAGTTTTTTTTTGTTTCAACTTATTTTGTTGGTATAGATACGTTTTTGTCGTGTGCATGCTTCCTTCCTTTTTTTGCTTTTACTTAATGTTTCTTTACTGAACATAATCTATAGAATATAATAGCCAAATATTGTGTAGATACTTAAGGAACTTCCTACGATACCTCAACAAAGGCTTGCGCCTGAATGAATTCAATGAATTCAATAATAGCCTTCAAACCTTTGTCATTATATACGATCCTTAAAAACAACGTTTTTCTTTCAAACAAGMCATATATCCATATACAATCCTATCATAGATATTTGTTATCACAATAACATTCGATATTGGAATCCTATTTTCAAATTGCCAGGAAATTGAGTCGAAATCCATTCCAAAGTAATTAGTATTCTGTTTGGTACGCCGAAGGTTTTGTGTCTGTTACAGTGTATTTTTAGAAAGATCAAAAACTTCCCGAAGTGGTACACTTCGAATAAACAATTCCGCGACTTTCAATTAATCCTCTGGATGATTCATATCAATTGGACTCTTAATTCCGGAATTAGTGGGGATTTTATAGGCCAATTGTCGCTCTGAGAAAGATTGCCCAGAAGCTGGAGCTCTCGTTTGCTGTCAAAACCTGGATAAGAAACGTCCATCCCGGCGACTCAAACGCAAAATATTCCTTTGAAGTAAACAACCCAAGGTAAGTAAAAAAAATCCATTTTGCTTTACCGTATCTATTTTATTTTATTTGTAATTATTCGAATTCTGATCAAAAAATTGGAATTTGGATTTTTTTTCGAAAAAAAATACAATTAAATCTCATGGAAAAGTAGTAATTATTTAATACATATAGCCTGACTGTCTAAAATTAATCAAAACTACCGCCACAGATCTTAAATATATGTCAATTAGAACAGGGTTCGTTACTTATTTTTTATAGACGAATTTTATGGGTAAATTCAAGTAAAGTCATAGGAAAATTGATATACAAACTGAAATTATCACCTATTTAAATTTCTGTGTTTTCTAGAATATTGTTTGACGGGCTATAACAAGCTA